TCTTTTTAAAAGCTAATGTTCAGAAGAATTGATGGTGAACTGGATGGAACTTCAAAAACTCTACTTCGTGGACATTCTTTATATCGTCAGAATTCAACAACTGCTTGTCTTATGTAGTGATGATAACAACACTCCCCGGACCAAAGGTGCCAAAATGTGTAAGTGCAAGAGCCACACGGATTGATCTAGATCAGAACATTAAAACATGGTTTCTCAAACTCTTCTTTGATAAATAGAAAATCTGTTTACAATGGGTTTTTCCCTAAACAATTTTCTAATTTCTCAAAGCTCTTTTTCTAAGATATACACACAATCTTAGAAAACTCTCAAGGAAACCCTTTGCACTTTCTAAGCTCTTAACTATCTTTTCTCTCAAGTTAAATCTTAATGCTAGATTCTCTTTCTCTTAATGTGCTAAGCTTTTCTCAAGCCTCAGCTCCCTATTAATAGAACTAGGACATCTCCATACAACAGGAAATTCCCATTCTACTTCTAAATAGGTTTTAGGATAATTTCCTTTTTCTTTATGGATTAGGAAATTATCCAACTCTTCTTGTTTTACTTTTATCCCTATAAAAGTAAAGTCTTCATGCTTCTAGACACTTCTTCGTTGTCTTGTGTCCATGTAAAACCGCCTTTCTTCACTTTCCTCATTTGTTGTTCTATTTTTGCTAAGACGTCTGAACTAGTCTCTGAACTAATACACTCCGTTGTTCAGACTGCATCTTCAAAATGTTCTGCAAGAGCATGTAACTGTTCAAGCTTATCGACGTCGTCTGCCACGAGCAAAACCCGTTGGTTCTTGGGACTATGTTTGCTCGTCGAGTATTCTCCTTTAATATTTTTCAGAAACTCTTCATATAGATGGCCTTCAATGTGGGAACTTTGAGAAATCGTTCTCACTTTTGCTAAGAAACCATGACTTTCAAAATGTTGATATGTTTTCTGGTAAACATATTTAGCTAGAGCTGATCTAGCATTGCATCCTCTTGCCCAAATCCTAATCACAGTCAATCCTTTCTTGGAATTCAAATCCATTAATCGGTCAAGATCCTTCATGTGTTAATCAATCCCCACTATGTCCCTCCCATTTTGTATTGTTTTACTTGTAACAGTCATCAACTTATTTGATATATCGTCAGCAATTTTTTTGACCAGCTTCTCGTCATCTTCGCTACCGAGAAAAAAAATAGAAACTTTAAGCATCGATTTAAACCAGATTTAACAAGAAAATTCAATCTTTCGATTCAAATCAAGTGTAAAAATAAAAATTCAATCCTTGATATTAAATCAGATCTAACCATAAAATTTTAATCTTTTTTTTTCAATAACTAAAAGGTTCCAAACCAAAGTATGTACATCTCCTCAAACTCAAAGCCAGAACAGATTATATGGTTTCGTCCGAAACACCATTCAAACCTTCAATTTCTAAACTTTTGCCAGAGATCTTACCTTATAGGTCTAGTGGTAGTTATGGTACTAACATGATAAATCATTTTAAGTTAGGAATGTTTACCATTTCCATGAACAAGGGCCGGAGATATACCACAAATCGGTCAATGCTCGCTTCCATGAAAGCACTTTCTCATGATCTTCTCTTGCCTCGTGCTTCTTAATCTGTTCAGCTACTACCAGATTGAATGGATCCACGCCGTAGAATATGGGCTTCATAGTGATCAAACCCTGGTCCTCGAAATCCATGATCATCCTGAGCTCTTCGAGGCACCAATGAGACGCAACGTAGTTCTCAGAGACCACAACAACCGCGATTCTCGAGTCCCCTATGGCACGTTCAAGCTCCGGTGAGATCATCTGACCGATCTCCAGGTCTTTGTCGTCTTTGAAAGTTCGTATGTTGCTTTGAACCAATTCATGGTAGAGAAAGCTGCTGAAGGTGCGGCGAGTGTCCTGCCCACTAAAACTTAGAAAGACATCGTACTTAGATGCAGTAGGAGAAGTCATTTTGATTTTCTATAACTATGTGAGTGTGTATGGATAATATAAAGAAAAAAATACTTAGATAGAGCACAATTGTATGTTTACTTCTTAAACAAACAAATCTTTTTTTATTCCTTAGATGTTTAGTGAGATGGGTGTGATTACAATAAACACCCTTGGTCATATTTCACTTAAAAATTGCCATGTCAGATCCGACATGCCACGTCATACCCGAAATTGCCACGTCATACATAAGAAGAATACGAAAGGTCGCGTTACGGATGAGTTATCAATCTACTTAGGTTTTCGCGGTATGTTTTTATGTTACGGCTGAGTTATCATACACGGGAAGAAGACGAAAGGTCGCGTCACGGCTGAGTTATCAATAAACTTATCGGGCTGAGTTATCGAAATTAACAATCGGAGATGTGGCTGAGTTACGAAAAACATATTAAATTCAACAATAAACAAGCATTTTAAATTCAACAACAAACTTAACATTAGGGTATTAGAATATATATTTAATGTAGCTTTGTAATATAAAAGATAAAATTAACACTAATATGAGAGAGTAAATTGTATTACGTTAGTGTATTACATTGTCTGCCTAGTAATGGACAAGCATTTTAGGGATTTATCTCTTTGTAGTAAACCTAAGTCTTAAAAGGTATAAACACGAGCTAATTTAATTATATTCATTGTTAAAGTGAATAAAAATGTTAATTACATCTCATCTAAGTGGTGTAATAACATGAATGTATGTATAATCTTATATTTCAAATTCGAGGTTTGGCTGAGTTATTGAAGTGTAACAGCTGAGTTATTTAACATCTTTACAGCTGAGTTATGTAAATGTTACGCCTGAGTTATGGTTATGATATTGAGATTTGAGGTTTGGCCAAATTATTACTTCGACAGATTTTGAGGTTTGGATGACTTATCGTAAATTAATTTTGTGGGTTGGCCGATATTAACCCATACGGCGTCGTTTATTGTTTCTTCTTTCTTATACACATAATCGAGAAATCAGACTGGGGATTTAGGGTTCTTTCGATTTATGGGTTTGCCTGCAATTTCTGGAGTTGTCTTTAATTTCTGGGCTCAAGTTCCCATCTTTTAATAATGAGCGACTACTCGTCGAGTATCATGGGACATATTTTTCATAGCTTTGTACGAGATCATGTAGCTCATCGTTGCCTTATGGCTCAACTCATCCAATTCGTAGTCATCAAGAACCGTAACGGCGGCTGAGTTATTAGCAGTTTTCTCATAACACAACCAGATTTTTATAAGTCAGCAATAAATGTTGGCTAAGTTATGATCGTAAGTCAGCCGTTAGCCCGAAACTCAGCCGTTGTTCAGAACTCAGCCGTAACGTGACATTAATCAGCCGTAACGTACATTATGGCTGAGTTATTGGAGACACACGCCATTTTGTCTGACGTGGCGATGACATTTTTTGTAATTAGTTTTTTTCGATAACATGTAAAAAGGGCACACTGATAATTAAAAAATATTTAAGGATAAAAAAAGGTTTTGGTACATTCTGATCAATACACCTAAAATGTACTCTATCTAAGTAATTTTTCCTAATATAAAATTAAGTGTGCTTCATATACGCCAGGTAGAGGAGACTTTTAGTAGAGACTTAATTTGTGTAGAGACTCTTCAGTTTAGTGTATTGTAACATCAGTTTTTGTCAGCTTCTGTTTCACTGAACTACTCAGAAAGAGGGGGTTTGTAGAAGGAAAAGACCTGGCCAGCCAAAACAGAAAAAATATTATTAACGAACGACAATTATCATCTTATCCTCTAGGTTGAATTTTCCATACCAAAAAAAAATGCACTCTTCGTTAGATAAAAGAAAAACGAAATTAGTTGGCTTTGATTAGTAGACTGATTTAAATTAGTTAAAATTTGAAACATTTGTTTAGTTAGACCACCATTATTGGTGGTCTTTTAAGCATCGCTAAGAGATGCTAACGAAGATATGCTTTTAAGATATAAAAGATATTTCTTACCAAATCTTAAAAAGTCTTAAACTTTTGTAACCTTACTACTAACAAATCTTAAACTTAGAGATGCTTAAGAGACCACCAATAATGGTGGTCTAACCGGATCATTGAGAAAATGGCTTAGACTCGTAGATTAGATCATTCTCCGTGCTACATAACGGATTGAAGTTTATTTTATATAAAATTTTGTATTTTTTTTAACGACAAACTTATATTAATTGATCAAGTAAGGTTACAAAATATAGCATTTTGAATCAATAAAGGGATGTACATCATCAAACCTTTCCTTCCAAGATCTTGGCTCTCCAATCCAGTTGAAACACCCAAAATTGAGACATATACCATTCATTAACTCTGAAACCTTCTTATTATCAGCTTCAAAGATTACTTTCTGAAACCCTCTGCTCCAAGCATGTTGCATAGCAATAATTAAGGCTTGTAGTTCACTCTCAAGAGCAGTAAGGTTACAAAATTTTGTATTGTTTTTTATAATTAAAAGTTCTGATATGTTACTCAGCATATAATTTTGATATATTATTTTCATTCCATCATCTAAAAATTATAATTCATTTCATCATATTACTCATTATAGTTAACTAATCGTCTGCTATAATTATTTTAAAAATATTTATTAGAAAAATCAAATTAACGTATTTTGTAATTTGTATTGTTTAATACATTAATTATTTCTCATGTTCTGTAAAAATATAAAGCTAAACTATTTTAAAAAATTTCTAATAAAAATTTCAATAGTTTATTTTATTATTTAATGCAATAATAATAATTCTTTAACTTGTTGTAATAAATGTTATATATTCTCCCCACTTGGGCATTTATAAAAAAGGTGATCTGGTATTTTTAAAACTGTCCCACTAATTAAAATTTGTGTTATGCAATCTCAATAATTATCAAACAGACTCCAACAAAATTAATAAATTTACAAATATATAAATTAATAAATAAATAAATAATATTTAATCACGTGGTGTACCGCGAGTTAAAACCTAGTTATACTAAATAATTGAAAATAAGTAGCTACCACTGGGATTCCGTCCAAACCAGCCAACCGCCTACTCTGTATTACGCTTTGTGTCTCAGAACGAATCGATGTTGAGTGGAGCCACGCATTGAATGTCTATGAAAAATGGGATTTTGCGAACTGATTTTACCACGTAAATGACCAAACCATTCCTTTGCATGATTTGTTGATTCCTCCAATATCTGACACTCTATTTCATAAACGAGTTTTATGCGAGAAGAGAAAAGCACCTGCTTGTCTTGTGTAGTGATGATAACTATACTGCCCGGACCAAAACTGTCAATATGCTCTTCAAGAGCATTGAACTGTTCAAGCTTTTTGATATTTTCAACCACAAGTAAAACCTTTTTGTCCTTGTGCCTTATTTGACTCATCCACTCTTCAAAGGGATGCGACATGTGACGATCCTTGTAAACCATTTTATCACTTTCCAGGAAAAAATGGCTTTCGAAGTGTTGAGAAATGTTCTCATAAACGAATTTAGATAAAACCGATCTTCTCGTGCTGCCTCTCTCCCAAATCCCAATCACTCTCACACTTTTCTTAGAGCTCAAATTCAATAATCGGTTAAAAGCTTTCATGTGTGCATAAATCCCCCGAAGGTCACTCCCATTGATTCTTGTTGTATTAATCATCAGATTTTTTGATATTAGCTCCGTAATTTTGTCTACTATCTTCGAGTCATCTTCACTAGAGACAAGAAGAAATATAAAAAATTGTAACTTCACAATCAATTTAATAAAATTTTACAGTAAAACTTTATCATCGGGAAGACTTTGATATATGTATTGTGCGTAACGTTCAAAGATAATTTTATGCTGCTGATAGTAAAACTTGTAAAATGTTCTGAAATTTTACCAAAGAGATGAACAAATGCCGGAGATATTGGCCAAATCGGTCAGTGCTTGCCTCCATGAAAGCACTTTCTCCTGATCTTCTCTAGTCTCGTGCTTCTGAAAGTGTTCGACAAATACTCCGCTCTGCCTCCTTACATGACACGGATCCACGCCGTAGAAGACGGGCATCACGGTGATCCAACCGTTTCTTACTAAATCCATGATCTTCCTGAGCTCTTCGAGGCACCAAGGAGACTCAGCGTAGTTCACAGAGACCACAACGACCGCGAATCTCGAGGTCTCGATGGCACGATCAAGCTCCGCCGAAATCATCTGACCAATCTCCAGCTCTTTGTCGTCTTTGAAAGTTCGTATGTTCATTCGAACCAAATCACGGTAGAGAAAGCTGCTGAAGGTGCGGCGAGTGTCGGACCCTCTAAAACTTAGAAAGACATCGAACTTTTGAGACATTTGATTGGTTCTCTTGTTTTTCTGTTAGGAGGGGGGGGGGGATTGATGGGTTCTCTTGTCTCAATGATCCAGAGGTATCATAAATAAGTGACGGGCCAAAACTCTTTCCTGAAAATTCAACGCATATTTTTTTTTTTTGGGTCAACACGCTATGCATACACACGAAGCGAAAATTTGGTAAACCCCGCGGTATATGTGATTTGCTTCTCTCGACTGAGAATATATAATTTAGGATTTGTTTCGATTCAAACATTTTCAAATATTCGATTTTTTTTTTGTGATATTAGCGAATTATTTGATTCGATGCAACTAAAATATAATTTTAAAAAAACCTAAAAACATATATCTTATTATATAAACCTTGGTTTTCAAAGTAAGCCATTAACAAGATCGTGACACATATAAACGATAAAATGTTGACACGTGTCGTAATTTTGTTAATATTTGGATAAAATAGAAATATTATTAACCCTATCGAAAAAGGAAATATATAAAATAAATATTATAAAGAATTATATATTAAAAATATTAATAAAATTAAACAAATAACCTAATTTCAGTTATGTCAATTTGGTTTAATAATAATATAGGGATTTAAAATTTATAATTAACAAGAATATATGGCGGTTTTTGTTTATAGAAGATGATTAAGGTTTAAACTTTAATTTTACAATTAAATCAGGTTATTTTTTGGTTTGGGTATATAATGATAAATAAGAATTATGGTTTATCTTTATAAATTAAAATTATGGTTTAAGTTTAACAGTTAAACGAGATTATATGTCGAAACTTGGTTTATAAATTTACTAACTCACGTGATCATGATAAGTGTCAAGTAAAAACATAAGATGTCGCAACATGTTATATCTAATTTTGTTAATATTAAGATACAAATAGAATTTTTAAACAACATTAAAAAATAATTATAAAAAAATAAAGAGAATTTTTGAGAAATACCCCTTTTGGTGTACCCCTTTTCAAAAATACCTCATTCATCTATCCATTTTCAAAAATATCCATGTTTATATGGTTTATAAGGTACTTCTATATAATAACTACTACTTGGAAATTTGATACAAATATTTTATAATATTTTAAAAGGTTTTAAATCGTTTTTACAAGTTTTATAAGGTTTTTAAGTGGTTTTTAAAAGGGTTTAACAGGTTTTAAAGAGATATTTATAACCTATTTTACGCTATTATGAAAGATATATAAAAATTTAAACATATATAAAGGTAATTTGTGTGTATATTTACAAGTTTTCACACATATTTTGATAAATTTCAACATTTAAAGTGGTTTTTTAAATAAAATTTGAAATAGGGGTATTTTTAAAAAGTGGTATGAAAAAAGGGTACTTTTGATAATTAAAAAGTAAAAAACTTGATATTTATAAAAAAAAATGTGTAAGCTTATATATTTAGACACAAATTATCTTTCTATGTGTGTAAATTTAAATACCATATAAATACCTTTTGAAACCCTTTTTAAAATTACTTAAAAAACATATAAAAACTTTGTAAACCTTATAAAAGTCTTATAAATGCCGATTAGAACCTTTTTAAAACTTTATAAATATTTGTATTGAGACTTCCAATAGTAATGATGATCTAGATATACCTTATAAACTAGAGTGAATTGTTGAATAACCTACTTTGCTAGATTTTGTTTGCAAGACAACACACTTCCGGTGGAAGGTGAACTTCTACACATCTTTTCTACTTAGGTGTCAATTTATATGACGAAAATACCCTCCTGCTGATTTGAAAGATAAGTTGTAATTGAATTAGTTTTGGATGATGTCGTTTAGTTACTCTTTAGTAACCCACGCGAGACAATTAAAAACTTAAAAACACTAAGCTGCTTTTAGGTTTTTGGGGTTTCATTCTGGGGAGCATGGCTGCGTAGGTATGCTTTTGTGGATAAGGTTTTTTGCTTTCGGAAATGTGGATTCGGAAACAATGATTAACGTTTCATTTGATTATGTGCAGGATGATTATCCGGCTTTCTGTGTAGTGGTGTCGGGGAAGTGGGAATTTACCACTTTAAATGTGTGCGACTACACTGTTGACCAGGTCCTGTTGACGAGAGTGGTGCCATTGTCGCCTGGTACAACATTGCAAGAATTAGAAGAAGCTGTGGTGGAGGAGTTCGGTCTAGTCCATAAAAAAGCTATTTGAGATATTGTCTACCTACTGACTTGCATTTGGCTTCAGGTTTAAGGGCGCCTCCAGTAATGGTTACGACAAATGTTGCTTTGGATTTTTATATTCGGATGTTACGGGGGGATAGGCACTTAAATTTGTTTGTGACATTTGAGGAACTAAGGAAGAGGGGACAAAACGAAGTAGGTTTAGAGGAAGAAAAGAAAATTAGCTATGGTGAATGTGGTAGAAAACGGAGTTGTGGTTCTCCCGCGGGGCTGAACATAAGTGAGGATGCAGATGTTGTTGGAGAAGCTTCAACAGCCGGGTCAAAGAATGTTGTGATTGATGTAACGCAGGAAGACGAGGCCTTCCTTGCAGGAGTTGCAGAAGCAGAGGACCAGAGAAAGGCAAATGAAACAGCGGATGGTACACAAACTGAGGATGGTACACAAACTGAGGATGGTACACAAACTGAGGATGATACACAAACAGAGGCGCATGAAGATTTCGGAGTAGATGACCTAGATGGCGAAAGTGATATTTTTGTGACACCAAAGGCGTACGATACAGATTTTTGGGGCAATTTCATAGGAGATAATTATGGACGGGTCAATGTGGTTGAGGTGATGTGTAATTCAGATAGTGTTACAGGACAAGAGTTTGGAGGAGTTCATATGAAAGTCGAGCAAGAGCCTCCAATTTTAACAGGGCAGGCGCCTAACATGGTTGATGGGTCTGGAGCATCCACATGGACAAATCAACATGAAACAGCGACGAGGAATAATGGCTCTATACCATCCACATGGACAGAGCAACATGGATATATGGCGGCAGCTATGGGTGGGCAGCAGACTTCAGAGGAACGTAAACTAGAGGATATCGATGATGAGGAGTTTGATATACCTCCTCTGTTTAATGACATAGAGTATGAGAGGGATGATATACCAGACCTAGATATAGATGAAGATGGCAAAGGGATCTATAAAGGGAAAATTTTTGCAAGTAAGGAAGAGTGCCAGATTGGTATAGCTATATATGCCATACAGAATATGTTCCACTTCACCCAGACTACTACCAAGAAAGGTTCTTTCGTATTGGAATGTAGCGGTGAACGTTGCCAGTGGAGGATACTAGCATGTGAATTGAAGGGATGTGGTTACTATGAGATAAGGAAAGCTACTTTGGAACAAACTTGCCCTATAGAAACAAGGAACAATTATTTGAAGAAAGCAACATCTAGGGTGATTGCTGCAGTATACAGATCAAAGTACAATGATCCCACGAAAGGCCCTGTGCCAAAGGATCTACAGCAATTAGTACTGGAGGATCTTAGGGTATCGGCATCATACATCAAATGTTGGAGAGCAAAAGGGAAAGCTGTTGAGGACATATTTGGTCCAGAAGATGAGTCGTATGACCAGCTGTTAGAATATTTGTATGTTCTAAAACATGCAAATCCAGGGACTATTACAGATATGAAGACTCAACTTGAGGAAGATGGCAGTGAAAGGTTCTTGTATTTGTTCCTGGCATTCGGTGCATCTATCCAAGGTTTTAGGAAGCTTAGACTAGTGATTGTGGTTGATGGGACTCATCTGACTGAGAAGTATAAAGGGGTGCTGCTAACAGCAAGTGGACAAGATGCTAACTTTCAGGTATTTCCACTAGCCTTTGCTGTGGTGGATAGTGAGAATGACGATTCTTAGACATGGTTCTTTGAAAAGTTGGAAAAGATTATAGCTGACAGCAAGACGCTGACAATCATATCTCATAGGAACGGGTCGATTTAAACTGCGAAGAAAAGGGTGTTCCCACTGACACATCATAGAGCTTGCATAGTTCATCTAGCAAGGAATGTGAACGCTAGGTTCCATAACAAAGGACTAGCAAAACTTGTTACAAAAGCTGCGTTCTCGTATAAGATTGCTTCATACCGGGAAACATATAATATGATTAAAGTAAAAAACAGCAACTGTGCCGCCTATTTGGATAAAATAGGGGCAGCTCATTGGACGAGAGCTTATTTCCAAGGTGATAGGTATAATTTGATGACATCGAACATAGCTGAGTCACTGAACAAAGCTTTAGGGAAGGGGAGAGGTTCACCAATAGTTGAGTTGCTTAAGTTTATACGAGCAATGTTGACGAGGTGGTTCAGTGCTAGGAGAAAAAAGGCTGGTAGGCACATTGGGTTAACAACTCCTGAGGTGGACAAGCAAATGACAAAAAAATTGTTGACTGTGAAAGGAAGCCAAATTGGAATGATTTCAAGTTGGAGTTATGAAGTGGTTGGAATGCTTAACGGTAAGAATTTGTTAGACATGAAACAGTGCACATGCAGGGAGTATGACAGGTTTAAAATACCGTGTGGGCACGCTTTGTTGGCCGCTAACAGCCAAAGGATACCATTTTCATCTTTGGTTGGTGACTTCTACAAAACAGAAGATTGGAGATCTACATACGAAGGGATAATAAACCCGGAAATGACTGATGTTAACGTCCCGGAAGAAATTCGAACACATTTATTGTACCCGCCTAAAGCAAGAAGACCTTCAGGGCGTCCACCAAAGCTAAGGATCCCTTCAACTGGTGAAGTTCTGGTTAGTATAAATATTTGTCAACAATTTTCATGGAACTATATTAACGTCAGATTGAAACGAAAACAAATAATTGTTTTGGCAGAAGAATGTAACTGGAAAACCAAAAGCTAATAAGTGTGGCCGATGCAGAGGAACAGGGCATAACAGAGCTAGTTGCTCGAACCCATTGCCGTGAGATGTTAGGTGTCTAGCGAGCTGAAATTTTTTGGGGAGGTTATTTGTGTGCGGGTTGTGTCCGATAATATTTTTTGTAAATCACAAGTTGAAATGTGGAATCTTATCGGTATTTCTTTATATATTTGTAAGCTTGTATGATTTTTGGTTGACAAGAAACAGGGTCTATATTCTAAGGGAAGTTTGTTTCCACAAAAATCAAACCTATATGAATCCATTTGGAAACCTTTTCTTTTATATTGATCCATTGAAATTGCATACACATAAAAGTAACATCCACACGGACATATATAGTTGAATAGGGTACCATCTCGAAGTTTCACGATCTTTCATGACATCCCAGTTCCTTTTATTTCCATCAAGATGAAAAATGTACCATAAAATAATATCCACATGGATAGTGTAAAGATGGATAGAATAACAAGTATAGATTTTGGTTAAAACGTTAGGGTATCCACATGGACATTGTATACATAGGTAGTTTGTCATGTAGTCATTAGTCAGATCAAATTGCATACACATTCAATTGAATAGGGGACTATAAACTTGGTCTCAGATGGACATTAAAATGATGGATAGGATGTCATGTAGAGATTTTTGAGATAGGATGTCAATGTGGTCTCAGTTCCTTGTAAATCAACCTCTTAAAGGTATCCATCATGGACGACATTTCCTGGATAACAGGAACATGGAAAAGTTAACTTAAAACCAAATTTATTCTGCCTTTTACACTATATATAGACTACATGGTTTTCCAATAAAGTTACTGCTCACCTTTAACAGGAATGGAATCTGAATATGGATACTCGAGCGACGAGCCAGAAGATAATTCGCTACCGAGAAGGATAACGGCAGAAACGAAGTTCTACCCTCGTAGTAAGCTAAATCTTAGGCCACGCGAAGCAGACATAGCAATGGTTTTCGATATGAAACCCCTCCTCCAACTGTTGGTATAATCCTTATCACAATCCTTACTTCAAAATTTTCCCAGAAAACGAACGCTTAAAAAGAAAAAATGTTTCTATACAGGGGACACCGCTGCCGAATCTCTACTTACCTCGACCGGTATTAGCCAAGGTTATCAGCAATGTGGCCGCAAATGGCGTAGAAGATCTTAAGAATTGGATCAAAACTGGAAAGGAAGGGAAAATAGCTGTTTTATCACCGGAGACTTTGGCTGCAGTTAGGTTAGACAAGAGTAGTGATTTTGTTCGGTGGTGCAGACATAGTATTCCGTATTACAATTTTTTCAGTGCGTGTTTACATGTGAAAAATCCGTATGCGGTCTATGTTAGAGGATTGTATCTTGCTTTTAAAGCGTGTAACATCCAGGAGTCCATTGAAGTCCTCGGATCCATCAAAGACATCTACCCAGTTTCGGAAGTAGCTTACTACATGCTCCAAAGTTGCGCTGGTTGCCTAAAAACAAACGACCTCTGTAAGCTGAAGAGCAAGTATCCTTACGAAGACATATCTAGGATGGGAGATGCTTTAATGTTTCACATTTATTCAATTGGTCCGCGCCGTTTGAGTACATACTCCAATACTTGGTTTAACGATTTTCCATGGTGTTGGGAGCACCACGATGCACTTCGGGAGAATAACTGCCAGAGGTGTATGGATTGCATTTACTATTATCTTTCAAGAGACATTTTGCTTTTATCCTAAAATCTGTAATCTTCATTTGAAAGCAAATTTGTAGAACTTGAACTCTTGTTCTTAAACATTATCAGTTCTGTTTATGAATTCTGGATCTATTGAAAAATTACCCGGGGATGCACCTATGTGTGTTTTGAAGCAAAGTAGTAGTTGTTTAGTTAGTTTAACCATAAAGTTCAGTTTTATTCTTCTTTACTATCCATGAATCGTTTAACCACATGTAAATGTTTTTGGTTCATTGAAAGGCAGCAGGTCTTGTCAACTTAGCTGTCTCCCAATGTAGGTTTCGTGCTGCAGTAAGTACAAATTTGCTCTAATAAGTACATATACTTTCGGGAGTAAGTTCTGGGGAAGAGAAGTACATTACCCTTTAATGGAGTACTAAACGGACCGCTAGACCATACTACGTTTTACTAACCAAAATTAGATGCTTCCCTAGTTTTACGTATTGTTGAAAGGTCAGCATCAGTATTTGCAGTAGACCTTTCCATGTGGATACCATGACATGGATAGTTAACACTAGTGTATAAATATATACGAAGTTCATAAATAATATTTCCCAAAACAAACAGTCTAACATTCAAGAAATGGTTAAGACGCTAACACCGCCGACGGAAAATGAATCCCATAAGGTAAAGAAATTTTGTAAAATTGCCAACCACTTAATGATGTTGTTTTGTAACTGATTTTAGTTCATCTTACCAGCAATGTTTCACGCTTTGAGTTCCACATACCGGCAGCAGTTTTAGCACAAGTAGCAGCGTCTCTCGGTGCAGATGGTGCCGAAGCTTTAGGAAACTTACTAAGGAATGGTAGAGAAGGGATGGAGGCTGTTTTGTCAAAAGAATGTCTCTCTACCGTTCGACTGGACAAATCAGAACATTTCATTTGGTGGTGCATGCCACACTCGAAGTACTTCTCCTTCTTCAACAAATGTGTTGAAGCGGGCAATCCTTATGCTAGGGCGGCTATAGACAATCAAGTGATACTTTCGGGGCGTTAGCCAGCGAAGGTTACATGGGAGGTAGTTGGTCTCTTACATATTTAGGGAATGCTCCTAATGCAGAGAGGGAAGTTAAGAGACTACTTCGGACTATTGGACGACCTCGTTGCCCACGTTGCGCAAGATTTACCACCTGGCGTGACCCCCAGACTCGCATTCCAGAGTGTCCCCATGCTTTCCACAGTTAGAAACATGAAAGTGTGTCTTTGGGTGGGATGAGTTCTATCAATTCCTGAATGTAGTTTTTTTTTACTAATCCAAACGTTGCAAGAATTCGTGGATTCAATATATAAAGACTATCGAGGTAACTATACCCTAAATCATCGTAAGATAGAATTAGTATCCACAAAATCACTATATCGTAGATTCACCGTGTTTGGTTTCTGGACTAAACTGAAGAACCTATAACCTAAAGCGTAGAGTATCCACAGATTTAATAATTAAGCATAGAGTATCTATCAATTCCTGAATGTAGTTTTTTTTTACTAATCCAAACGTTGCAAGAATTCGTGGATTCAATATATAAAGACTATCGAGGTAACTATACCTTAAATCATCGTAAGATATAATTAGTATCCACAAAAGCACTATATCGTAGATTCACCGAGTTTGATTTCTGGACTAAACTGAGGATCCTATAACCTAAAGCATAGAGTATCCACAAATTTAATAATTAAGCGTAGAGTATCTATTAATTCTTGAATGTAGTTTTTTTTTACTAATCCAAACGTTGCAAGAATTCGTGGATTCAATATATAAAGACTATCGAGGTAACTATACCCTAAATCATCGTAAGATATAATTAGTATCCACAAAAGCACTATAACTATACCCTAAATCACCGAGTTTGGTTTCTGGACTAAACTGAGGAACCTATAACCTAAAGCGTAGAGTATCCACAAATTTAATAATTAATGTATAAAACGTATAAAACGTAAAGTTAATAAAAATTACATATTAAAGTTCCTTAGAGGATATAATACACAAATGTATGCTTGCTATGATATGTATAGTCTATAGCAATCTAACTATACCCTCTGTCATATGAAGTATCCAAAAACTTACTATATCGTGGATACAAAAATTTGTAATACTCTACTATACCCTAAACTGAGGAATCTATAACCTAAAGTATAGAGTATACACGAAGCAGGGGATAGTTTATTAATCGAACTTATAAAACGTATACAACGTAAAGTTCAAAATAATTACATATTCAACTTCATTAAAGGATATAATACACAAATGTTTGCTTGCTATGATATATATATTCTATTGCAATCTAACTATACCCTCTGTACTATGAGGTATCCAAAAACAAACTACATCGTTGATTCAAAATTATTTAATACTTGACTATACCCTAAACTGAGTAAACAGACAGCGGAAGCAGATAGTATCCACAGCAGACAGCAAACAATCGAAAATAAGAAAAAGGGTATTTATCCAAGAAGGGGTGACTTATATAAAACATAGAAAACGTAAAGTTAAAAAAAAACCCATAATAAACTTGCTTTGAGGATATAATACACAAATGTAAGCTTCCTATGATATATATAGTCTACAGATTATATAATGTATGGATGAAATGATAACTCACAAACATCAACGGTACTTTCTATACCCTAAAGCATCGAGTACACTCGGATTACTTATATAAAACCGTAAAGTTTAAAATCAAACAATATTAAACTTGCTTAGTGGATACAATATATCCTAAAAAATAACTATACCCTTAAAAATACGAAGAAAATTGAAGTATCCACAAAAAAGAAAGGATAGTGGATTCATATACACTAAAGCATAACCGACCCACATCACTCAATCCACAAAAAGTGTTATAATCCATATGGGGGGAGTAACAAAAACACAAATTGTGGATATATAATATCCTCAATCCGCATCAAACTCCATTACATTACATCTCCAGGTATCTGGAATTAAGTAAACGGAGAACTGAAAATGAACTAATACATTAAAAACCCTACTGCATATAACATAGGTGAAAAAAACATTACAGGCTTAGAAGGGTAATGCATAACACAAGATAAACATGATAACAAAAACAGCGAGTTTTGTTTTAGAACTTATTGGGTCAAAGGCTGACATCTTGAGGGATGGTGGGCAGTTCTTCTGCAACGAGGACACATAGGTCTTCCTACTCTCATTAGACGCGGTGGTGCTTCCAACCTATCATCGTTTTCATGCTCTAGTTCAGGGAGGGATGCAGTCTGAAGGAGGGGTGAAATCTCAGGGTATGGTGACCACCGACCCTTCTTGAGGTAGATTTCCATTAAAGTTTCAAAGGCAAATACTTTGTTTAGATATGCCCAGTTTGC